ATTTTTAGTAGAGATGGGGTTTCACCATGTTGACCAGGATGGTCTCGATCTCTTGACCTCGTGATCCACCCGCCTCGGCCTCCCAAAGTGCTGGGATTACAGGCTTGAGCCACCGCGCCCGGCTGAAAAGTTTGCTTTTATAGTAACCACTTTCATTAGGTCCTTTTGTATTTTTCCTCGGTTTCTTTATATAGTTATAAACAAGCATACAAGAGGAATACATTTGCTTTCCCTGCCTCATTTAGGAGTGATCTTTTAATTTTACTTTTTTTTTTCTGAGACAGGGTCTCACTCTATTGCTCAGGCTGGAGTGCGGTGGCACAATCTTGGCTCGCTGAAACCTACCGAGTAACTGGGATTACAGGCGTGTGCTACCATGCCTGGCTAATTTTTGTATTTTCAGTAGAGACGGGGTTTTGCCGTATTGGTCTTAAACTCCTGACTTGAAGTGATTCACCCGCCTCGGCCTCTCAAAGTGTTGGGATTCAGGCATGAGCCACCGCTCCTGGCCGGGAGTGATCTCTTAAAATGTATATCTGATGCTGTCAGGCACTCACTTAGGTGAGATCCAAACTCCTCAAGTGGGCTTCAGGGCTCCACTCAACCTGGCCTCTGTGCCCCTCTGACCCCAACCCATGGCCTCCTCTTGTCCTCTAGGCCCCAGCCCCACTGTCTTCCTGCATGAAGATCCCACCCTCCTTCTTTTATTTATTTATTTATTTTTAAATTTTTATATTTTTATAAAAAAAAAAAGACAGGGTTTCACCATGTTGGTCAGGCTGGTTTTGAACTCCCAACCTCAGGTGATCCGTCTGCCTTGGCCTCCAAAGTGCTTGGATTACAGGCGTGAGCCACCACGCCTGGCCTATTTATTTATTTATTTTGAAACAGAGTCTCACTGTGTCTTCCAGGCTGGAGTGCACTGGCAGGATCTTGGCTTACTACAACCTCCGCCTCCTGGGTTCAACCACTTCTCCTGCCTCAGCCTCCCAAGCAGCTGGGATTTCAGTTGCCCACCACGCCCAGCTAGTTTTTGTATTTTTAGTATTGATGGGGTTTCACCATGTTGGCCAGGCTGGTCTTGAACTCCTGACCTCAGGTGATCTACCTGCCTTGGCCTCCGAAAGTGCTGGGATTACAGGCGTGAGTCACCATGCCTGGCTGATCCCACCCTCCTACTGCCAGGTCTTGGTGCCACCCTTGCTCCTGCCTGGAAATCCCAGACCCTTCAGTCCCCACTGTCTTCCTGTCATTCCTACTCAAATGTCACCTCCCCGGAGAAGCCCTCCCTGAACTCCCAATTTAAAATAGCTCCTTTATTTTTGCCTCTTCTTATATCACCCTGTTTACAAGGTGTGAATTCATGCATTTCACTGAATGTGTGGCAATATAAAACTGTCTTGATGATGTATTATCATTTTTTTCCTTCTACCTAAAATACTATAAATATATTTATTGTCCTTTGTTTGTGCCTGTTCCCCCTACCCTGCTCTAGACTGTACATTCTTGGAACTGGAATCTGTTTTATTCACCCCTCCATCCTGGGTGCTGGAAACAGTGCCTGGGACATAGCAGGCCCTCCATAAACATTTGTCAAATACATAAACGCGCGCTGAAGGCCAAGTGCTTTCTAGAAACCGTGACATACACTAAAGAAAGACTTCTTAGGGTTTCTCTAAAATAGCTGTAAAATAGCAGGCAGCATTTTGTGTGTCCATGCATTATTCAGGACCAGAGCATCCTATTTTACCTCCTTTGGGTGGCCCATTGGGCCATACCCTGCAGCCATTTCAGGGTGCCCTTCCTGCTGTCCCCTTCTCAGAAAGGCAGCTCCCAGGGATCCTGGGGAATCTTTCTTTCTGAAGCAGAAAAAAAGTCTCTCTCCTGAGCCAATGTTTTCAGAGCACAGAAGGAGATGGAAGATGATGCCTCCAGAGGGGCCGCTGGTTCCAAGGCTGACGGCATCTTGGGATACTTGTTGGGGACGCTGAGTAAATCCTGATGGGTGAAATCTCCCAGGGCCTTCTTCCTGGTCAAAGGCAGCTGGGGCATCTCCCAGAGGCTGGAGGCCCAGATTGAACACTGCTCTTTCCAAGCCGGTATGGAAGGTGGTATCCTGGGTGTGCTTCCTGATGTAGCTACTTACCAGTTAGGGGACCCTGGGCATGCTTCTAACACTCTGCACTTGTCCTCTGTCTATAAGGACCAGAATATTTACCTCAGAGGTTGTTTGTTCTATAAGGACCAGCATAGATACCTCACAGGTTGATGTCACAAATGAGATATACATGTAAAATTAACAGAGCTGGGCACAGAGTTAAGGGCCCAACAAATTATGAGTACTGTCTTGTTATATTTTTGTTATTATTATTTTTATTATTTTTTGAGACAGGATCTCATTCTGTTGCCCAGGCTGGAGTGTGCCGGAGTGATCACAGCTCACTGCAGCCTTGATCGCCCAGGCGCAAGCAGCCTTCCTGCCTCAGCTTCCAGAGTAGCTGGGACTACCGGCACAAACCACCACACTCGGCTAATTTTTGTACTTTTTTGTACAGACAGAGAGCCTCAAGGGACACTCTTCGTCCCCTGACCCTCCACATCAGGGAAGCATCTCCAGTCTCCAGGGTTTTGCCACGTTGCCCAAGCTCATCTTGGACTCCTGGGCTCAAATGATCCACCGCCTTGGTCTCTCAAAGTATTAGGATTACAGGTGTGAGCTGCTGTGCGTGGCCACTATTATCTTAATAACAAGTACTGTCTAACCTCTCTGGCTCTTGTAAAAAGTGTAACGACAATATGCATCTCATAGCAAGGATCAAATGAGGTCACGGGATAGAAAGGGCATTTTGTGCTGGGTGCGGTGGCTCACACTTGCAATCTCAGCATTTTGGGAGGTTGAGGTGGAAGGAAGGCTTGATTGCCGAGGAGTCTGCAACATAGTGAAATCTCGTCTCTACAAAATACTTAAAAAATTAGCTGGCTATGGTGCCTGTAGTCCCAGCTGCTTGTGAGGCTGAGGTGGAAGGATTGCTTAAGCCCAGGGTGTGGAGGCTGCAATGGGCCATGATTGTGTCACTGAACTCCAGCCTGGGTGACAGAGTAAGACCCTGTCTCAAAAAAATTAGTTGAAAGTTCATTTTGAAATGCAAAATCCTACACAAATGTGTTAGATAATAGTTTCTGATAACATTAATAATGGAAAGTCCTTGTAAGCAAGGAAATGTGTCCTCTCAGGGGAGGCCACAAGAGGGCACCCTCTCCCCCTGCCAATGCCATGCCCCCTCGTCCACACCTCCCTGTAAGTAAAAGGAAGTAAGGCCCCTCCATCTGGGAAGAGCCTGGGCCTGGGGCTCTGTCCTGGGGACTTTTCGCCAGACTTGTCACATGGGGTGCCCATTCCGTCTCTATAGAATAGAGGCCCATGGTGGCATCGAGGGATCTGTTTGAGTGTTACTACTTTTAGAGCTGTGCTCAGAAATGATCTTAACCCTGTATTTCTGCAAGCGGGGTGCAGGATCTCGTATTTACACGCAGTGATGGAGTTTCATCTCCCACAAGATGGAGTTCTCTGGCTGTCTTTTTCACAGCTGTCTCTCCAGCCTCAAGCACAGGTAGGCACGCAGTAAGTGCTTGAGCGGCACTGGATGAATAAAGAGGCTGCTCCTTTACCTGGATATTTGCCATTATTCCTGTCTACTCCCAATCCTGAGACCCCCAGGAATCTCAAACCACAGCGTGTCACCTGTCTGTGGGAGCTGAGAAGCCCCATCCGAGCTGGTGATCCATTCCCCAGGTGTGTGGAAAGGGAGTTCCAGAAGAATCCATGGCAAGGACAAGGACTGTGAGCTCTGAGAAGGCCCCAGTGTCTGGTTGGGTTCTGTTTCAAGGCTGAAAAAGAAAGAGGTGCAGCAGCCGGTGGACAGGGCCTGGAGTGTCTGGGTCTGTCCCTGCCCTCCCTCCGTGGGTCCTCAGTGGTCTGTGGCCTTGTGGAATCTCAGGTCCCTCAGTAGTGAAGTGCTGCTACCCAGGCCTCCTCTCAGCTCCTTCTGGGATGCACGAGAGAGATGTGGGGATGCCCTTTGCATCTGGGAACCATCAGGCGAGAGGCAGGTGATATGGTTTGGCTCTGTGTCCCCACTTTGTAATCCCCAGGTGTCAAGGGAGGGACCTGGTGGGAGGTGAATGGATCGTGGGGGTGGTTCCCCCATGCTGTTCTTGTGACAGTGAGTGAGTTCTCGAGAGGGCTGAGAGCTGATGGTTTTAAAGTGTGGCACTCCCATGCGCTCTCTCCCTCCTCCCGCTGTGTAACCGTGCCTCGCTTCCCCTTCACCTTCTGTCATGACTGTAAGTTTCCCGAGGCCTCCCCAGCCATGCAGAGCTGTGAGTCAATTAAACCTCCTTTCTTTACAAATCACCCAGTTTCAGCTGGTATTCTTTTAGCAGTGTGAAAATGGGCTAACACAGTGGGTTTTTTTCCCCTTAAAATATGGTAGAGTTTGGAGGCTCACGCCAAGGCAGATAACCACGTGAAACGTATCCTCATGTGCTGGCCACGCTGACTATGGTACAGCTAATGTCCAGTGTTACTGCAGGGCCTGGCTAATGTCCAGAGGCCACTGTGAATCCAAACACCTGTGTGAGGTGTGAACTGGCCTCACATTTCACACTCTTTCCTATTTGACCTGGTCAATCACACCACTGCGACTGACAGAGAGGGCTGCCACATGGCTAGACCCCAAGTGCCCCTTAACCCTCACTGAGCCTCAAGGGACACTCTCCATCCGCTAACCCTCCACATCAGGGAAGTATCCCCAGACATGGCTGCTTCCTGGGGCCTCCCACTGCCGGGAGGTGAGTACTGACTGCTCTCTATGTGGCCTCTGAAAGTGTCTGGCAGTGTGGAAGCACTAGGGGGCGCTTCAGCTGGGCCGGTCAGGTTCTTTCCCTGCCTTCTCCTCCTCCCACCTTCCCCAAGTTCCCAGAAAGAAACAGGACAGAAGCCATGGGCCAGGACTTTATTATTATCACAGATCCCAGGAGAGACCACTTGGGTCTCAATGAAGGCTTGCTTTTCCTCTTCTCCAGGGGAAGCTACCGTGAGGTGGTCCACCAGTCAGGCTAGGCCAAATGGGGTTGGGGCCAAGAACATGATAGTTAAACCCACAAACACAGACTTGATTGGATCCCAGCTTCACAAATTTTTTTTTTTTTTTTGAAAGACGAGGTTTCACCATGTTGGTCAGTCTGGTCTTGAACTCCTGACCTCCGATGATCCGCCCACCTTGGCCTCCAAAGTGTTTGGATTACAGGCGTGAGCCACCACGCCCGGCCAGCTTCACAACTTTTTAGCTGTGTGACCTTACTTCAGTCTGTTAACCTCTCTCAGCCTTGGCTTTGTGGAGTGGAGTGAACAGCAGAGCCTGTTTCGCTGGGGTGTTATCAGGATGGAGTGGGACAAGGCCTGTGGAAGTGCTTAGCACAGCGCCTGGCAGATCGCGGCCAGTTGCGGAGTGGAAGCTATCATGATTATTAGCAAATCTGATTTCTCCATGGTCAGGCCAGACCCGTCTCTCTGGATGAGGAAGAGGGAATCTCATTTCATAAATGGCTTCAATGTGGCCTGTGAGAAAGATAGCTCAGGACACCTGTGGGAGCCGCCTGGTCCCTGGCAATGTACGAGTCAGACCCTATAATGAGGGTTCTGGGGCCTTGGCAGTTACTGCCGTTTCTACAACTCCATGAAAAGCCCTAGCAAGGGTTCGGGGAGAATCCTAACTTTGCACCTGGATCACGTTAGGTGTTTTGTCATTCAGTTAGCTAGCATTCTTTATAAGCACTCAGAGAGGCTGACTTTTAAAATTATTCATGTATTTTTTTAGAGGTAGGGTTTGCCTCTATTGCCCAGGCTGGAGTGCAGTGGCTATTTACAGACACAGTCATAGCTCTCTGAAGCCAGGAACTCCCAAGTGAGGGGACAAAAGGAACCTCAGTGTGTGCGTGCGCGCGCGCGCATGTGTGTGTGTGTGTGTGTGTGTGTGTGTCCAACATCTTGCAGCAAGATTAGATATCACCGCGTGTAGGGGAAGAGCTCTAGTGTTCCGGGGTGGGTAGAGGCACCACAAGAGGGCGTTCTGAGTTTTTATCTTCTCTCCCTTGAAAAATTTTCCATTTCTTCTCTGCATTCTAAATCGAATGAAGACTTAATGGTTTTTAGCTTACCTGACTGGCTACACTTGAAAAATGAAATCATGTGCGTTTACTAGTTTATCAGTCATGTGAATGCAATACTGCGGCCCCTGTCGCAAGGTGCGTTGGGAAGTGGGTTTGAGGGTGTGGTGGAGACAAGAGGCATGCCTGATGGCGTCCTGGTTCAATGGCGGCTCAGCTGGGTAGGCTTGGGCAAATTTCCCAAGAGTACGGCAGTGCTGAAGTTCCCACATCCAGTCTCACATGATGTTATGAAATAGACATGATGGAAAGAAAAGCAATGCAAAGGTTGGGAACATGGTTCACAAGCCCTCTTACCTCCAGGGACAGCCTTCTTCTTGAACCCTCATCTCGTGCTCCAGCCGAGGCCCCATGGGGGGCAACTCTGGGGTGGGAAGGAGGCGAATCCAGCTGTGAAACCATGACCTCAAGAACAGTATTTCCAGGAATCCCCATCTTAGCATCTAAGGGATTCCTGGGAAAACTGGACCGTGAGGACAAGGTGGGAGCGAATGGCCTTCAGCACCAAGGCCGCCGTGTCCCTAAGGACTAGCTGGAGTTCTCTTCTGCATCCAGTCCCATCTGTAGCAGCCAGTGTGGGTGCCACACATCGCAGGACGGGGCTCGTTGCTCTGGGGGGAGTAGTGACTGGAACTTCAATTGCCCTGGAAAGTACCAGAAACCCTCCAGCGCCCCTGCCCCCAGGACTGCCCACTGCTGTCTGCCTGGCTCATATGTATTCCCCAGTCTCCTGCCAGAGTGAATTTAAAGCAACAATTCACGTCCAAGCCTGGGTTTGGCACCTCCCGCTTTGATGATCTCCAGCAAGTCGCTTAACCTCTGAGCCTTGGCCTTCTGTAACGCTGAAATGCAAGAGTCTAGGACCCACTGGAGAGGTGAGATAAATAAAATTAAGGGGGAGGGGGCAGGAGGAAGGAAGCCCATAGTATTAATGGCAAGTGTCCGAGTCTGTCTTTGCTAAAAGTGACCTGAGATGTAAAGACAAGATGGGAGCAGGAGTTAGAATGTTCTCCGCCTGCTTCCCTGTCCCAAGTTCCATAATCATATGCAATGGGTAAAAACATGGATTTGAAGGCAGATTAGGGTACAGTCTCAGTTCAGCACAACCAATATGTGACCTTAGGTGAGCTGCTTAAATTAGCCTCAGCTTTTTGCATCTGTAAAATGGGGCTATAACACCACCCACTTCCCAAGCTTTTGGGTAGGTTAAATGAAACTGTGCTTGGCTCTCCTCCTCTGCTCAGTGCGTGTCTGAAGCCTCTGGGAGAAGTCAGACATTTGTGAGGCACCTGGACTGGTTTCCGCAATACCCCAGAGCCAAGGATAGAAGCACAGAGTGAAGACCCTGACTCAAAGGCCAGAACTTTTGTCCTCAGGGCTGAGAGGTTTTTAGGAATTGTTTGCAGAAATGATGAATGAGTTTCAGTTGTGAATCATTAATAGTGGCTCTCCAGGGCTCATTGTTGAGGATTCTGAAGCTGCATCTGAGAACATTTCAAGAATGGACGCCTAGCCCGGGTGTAGTTACTTATGCCTGTAATGCCAGCACTTTGGGAGGCCAAGGAGGGCAGATCACCTGAGGTCAGGAGTTCAAGACCAGCCTGGCCAACATGGTGAAACCCCATCTTTACTAAAAATACACAAATTAGCTGGGTGTGGTGGTGTGCACCTGTAATCTCAGCTACTTGGGAGGCTGAGGCATGAGAATCACTTGACCCTGGGGGAAGGAGTTTGCAGCGAGCTGAGATCGTGCCACTGCACTCCAGCCTGGGTGATGGAGTAAGATTGTGTCTCAGAAAAAAGAATGTATGCCTTTACTGATTAGCTGTGTCTGCCATGGACTCAGAAAGAGGAAGCGGAGGCAGGATGCTAGGGAAATGCTAACACCTCACTGGGGTACACAGAGGAGTCAGGACACGTTGAGACTCGTGAGGCGGATTGTGGAACCGGGGGAACCTGTGTCAAGGAACTTCCCCAGTATCACAAGTGGCTGACAGTATAGAGTCTGGAAACACTCTGTCCTTCCTGGGACAGCCCCACCCCCCGCCCCCCAGCACTTACCACCTCCAGGCTGGTGGCTGCAGAACAACTTCTCTCTTCCTGAGCTACAGTGCTTCATCTCAGACTCCCAACTGACCAGAGATGCAGCACTGCACCTCAGGCTGGGAGACAGGGCTGTGCTGCTCCGCTCTGCTGGCCTGCGGGGGGACTCCAACCTGGCCAGGAGAAGGGGCATTAGAGGGGACCCGGGCTCCACCCCTCCAGCTCTGCTCAGGAGGCTGCTGTAACTCCCCACAGCTGCGTTTCCTGTCCGTGGCCTGCCATTTGAGCCCCCTAGGACCAAACCTTGACCATCCTTTTCTTTTTAAAGACAGCTTAATTTAGAAGGAGAACATTTAATGAGTACAATTAAGTGGGTTTTAATACATTCAAACAATGCCACAATAGATTTCAGGTTACCTCACCACCCCCCAAAAAGAAGCCCCTTATCCTTGGACAACCCCTAGTCCTGGGCAGACCAGACCACTTTCCCTCTGTCTCTACAGATCTGTCTATTCTGGATATTTCAACAAATGGAATTATTTATTTCTTTTTTTCTTTTTTTAACGCTAGTCAAGTGAAACAGTGGGAGTGGAGAAGGAACAAAGAAATCTGTAACTCGTTGTGATCAATTAGTTGTAAACACCCCTGCACTCGGACCAGCCAAATGCAATTATTTAATATGTTGACCCACCTTTCGATGCCACGTCCCACCTTCATTCTGCGTGCTTCATCCCAGCCAAACAGCATCATTCATGGTGCTTCACATTTTATATCATTGAGCAATGTCTCCAAGCTAGCTTTCTTCTGCCACTCCTCCTCTCTTCCCAACCATCTTCCCATAATGATTTTTCAAAATGCAAATATGGTCATATCTTTCTCAAGCTTAATATCCCCAAAGGGCTCCCCACTGCCCTCAGGCTAAATTCTGAAGCCTTCACCAAAGCCTGCAAGGGCCTGCCACCTCTGGCTCCAGTGGCCTTTTCCTCTTGGGCTACAGCTTATAGGTGTCCTTCCATTCTCCCAGGGAGCCCTGGTCCACCCACCTTGGGTTTCCCAGGGACTGTGTTGCTCCCTCTCACTCCCCCTGCACAGCTCCTCCTCCTGCGATAGCTCTCTAAACAAGTGGCCACTCTGGGAAACACTCCTTGACTTTTTTTTTTTTTCTTTGTGACAGAGTCTCCCTCTGCTGCCCAGGCTGGAGTGCAGTGGTGCGATCTTGGCTCACTGCAACCTCTGCCTCCCTGGTCCAAGCGATTCTCATGCCTCAGTCTTCCAAGTAGCTGGGACTACAGGCACACACCACCATGCCTGGCTAATTTTTGTATTTTTAATGGAGATGGGGTTTTACCATGTTGGCCAGGCTGGTCTAGAATTACTGACATCAGGGGAATCTGCCTGCCTTAGTCTTCCAAAGTGCTGGGATTACAGGCATGAGCCACCGTGCCCAGTTCCTCCTTGACTTCTTTATCCATCTGCACCCTCTGCTCCATGTTCTCACCCATGCTGTGCCCTCTTTCTAACCCTTTACCATGCTGGCGATGTGAATTTCACTTACAACCACCTCCACTTGTGGACCGCATGGCTCACCTATGAGGGGAAGGGACTCTGTCAACTGCGCTCAGAACCGAAATCAGGGCCAGGTGGTGTGGATACCACATGAGCCCAGGTTGAAGGACTGAATCATATTTCCCAGTTTCATTATCTCTAGTATCAGTGTTATCTGTGTGGGTCTGACCCAGCTAGTTCTCCACTTCCTGAGGACAGTGCCCATGGCTTGTTAATTTAGGGGGCCCTGGGCCTTGCCCATGGCTTTGTACATGATGATGGACCCAGGTAATGCCATTTGGTAGCTGACCGGATGACCATGTAGATAATTCATTTTATTTTCTGGACCTGGCTTGGGTGGGAACTTTCAGGTGGGCAGGCAAAGCTCTTTCTCACTCCTCCTGCCTTGCCAAGATCTAAGGACATCCCAGAGGACCTTCTTGCATTGCTTAGTGGTCACCGTGGTGGCCTTGATGTTGGATGACATATATTTTCAGGAATGTCTGAAGGCGGTGGGTAGCCTTTCCTCAGGGCTGAGAAAGAACAAAAAAAATATACCTCCTGAAAAAAACAAAAACAGAGCTGGGTGCAGTGGATCACACCTCTAATCCTAACACTTTGGGAGGCTCAGGCAGGAGAATTGCTTGAGCTTAGAGTTCAAAACCAGCTTGGGCAACATAGAGAGCCCTTGTCTCTCAAGAAAAAAAAAAAAAAGACTGTCTCTTACGCCTCTATCAGAAATCTGAAGTCAGGCCCCACTCTGAGAAGAATGGAAAGAGTGTTTTCCTCTGGTCTACCATGGTTGCAGGTCAGTTCTGACAGCCTATGGAGGGGACAGCCTCTGTCTAAGCTATTCCCAGCCAGAAAACTGCTTTCCTTTTCTTTTTTTTTCTTTTTCTTTTTTTTTTTGAGACGGAGTTTTGCTCTTGTTACCCAGGCTGGAGTGCAATGGCGCGATCTCGGCTCACCGCAACCTCCGCCTCCTGGGTTCAGGCAATTCTCCTGCCTCAGCCTCCTGAATAGCTGGGATTACAGGCATGCACCACCATGCCCAGCTAATGTTTTGTATTTTTAGTAGAGACGGGGTTTCACCATGTTGACCAGGATGGTCTCGATCTCTTGACCTCGTGATCCACCCGCCTCGGCCTCCCAAAGTGCTGGGATTACAGGCTTGAGCCACCGCGCCCAGCCCCCTGCTTTCCTTTTCTGAGGAATTCTCTTGCAGGAACCCTTTTCAACTGCATTTGGCGGCTGGGCACAGTCTGCTCACGCCTGTAATCCCAGCACTTTGGGAGGCCAAGATGGGTGGATCGCTTGAGTCCAGGAATTCAAGACCAGCCTGGGCAATGCAATGAAATCCTGTCTCTATCAAAAAATTAGCCAGGCTCATAGGCTTGTCTCTAAACAAATACATAAATAGATTTTTTTAAAAACCCTGCATTTGGCTGGGGAGCGTTCCAACATTGGACTCCCTTGGGGGGTCAGAGACAGCTGGTCTACTCCACTCTCCACGGCTCCCACTGGCCCTGGGAGGGAAGAGCTTAGCATGATCAGCAAGGAGATTTCAGTAGGAATCAGGCAGGGTTATCTTAAAAAAGAGATGATTTGCTGCCAAGAACTAAATTGACAAAGTGTGTCCTCTGTCTTCACTTGGTGCCTGATTGTTTCCAAAGCCCTTTCACATAAACTACCTTTGGCTTCCCAAGTGCAGCAGGTGGGTGAGTGATTTTGGGGAGTTTGTGACCTCTGCTGGGAGACAGGACACAACAGAATGGAAAGCAAATTGACAAGGAGCAACTGATCCATTCTGTTGCTCCCTGTCAATTTGCTTTCAGTCCTATTTACTGTGGGGTGGAAAGCCTCAGCTTGGTGCTATCATGTCTTTGACACTTTTCTCTCACTTATCACCCAGGCTTCAGGTCCAGGGCCTTGCAAGCCACACTATCAGGTTAAAGTATAATAACATTGTTTCATTTTTATTGTATTTGTGGTTACCTTTATTTTCTAGTTATGTACAATGTTACAATTTTCTTTTTACAGTAGCTATTTCTATTTGTATTAAAAAGGACTCATCCACCAGGGGTGATGGCTCATGCCTGTAATCCTAGGACTCTGGGAAGCTGTGGTGGGCGGATCACCAGGTCAGGAGATCGAGACCATCCTGGACAACATGGTGAAACCCCGTCTCTACTAAAATACAAAAAATTAGCTGAGCGTGGTGGCAGGTGCCTGTAATCCCTTTACTCAGGAGGCTGAGGCAGGAGAATCGTTTGAACCCAGGAGGTGGAGGTTGCAGTGAACTGAGATTGCGCCATTGCACCCCAGCCTTGTGACAGAGCGAGACTCCGTCTCAAAAAAAAAAAAAAAAAAAAAAAAGGACTCATCTTACATTTTTAAATAGTATAATTGTTTGCAGACAGGAAAAAAATAAAATAAGGGCATCTGAATAACTGATTTTAGGACAGTGTCTGATCCCATTTAATCATCAGAACAGCTGGTGTCCCTGGCAAGGAATGTTATTGCTTCTACATGGAGGACCAGGAAGGGAAGGGGATTGTTCCCAGGTCACAGGGCCTGAGCTTGGACCAGGAGAATTGAAGGCCATTTCCACCAAGGCCATTTCCATTCCAAGATGTGGGCTAAGATTACTGCAGCAAAGATAGCATCTCCCCTGGGTTTACAAACAGGAACTAGATGGGAGGCAGCCCCACGCCTCTGTGAGAGAAACTAATGCAGGGACGAGGGCTGAAGCGCAGCCTCTGAACAGCGGAGGGTGTTTGCCTCCCTCTCCTCTGAGGCCCTTGAATCTGCTCACCCCTGGCTGTCAGTGCCTCATTCTGTTCCTTTGTGTCTGGAATAATCATAATGATAATGAATGTAATAAGCATGGTCATTTGTGGAACTGTTTAGTCCTGGATATTAAATGTTTTCGTTGTGTAAGTCCCTGTGCATCCCCAAAGCTCCATGGGAAAGGAATTTTCCAAGGGTACAGAGCTGGGAACTGATCTGGGGTTCCTAACCCAGGACCCTCACGTTAACCTCTACGCTGGATGGCTCATGCCCTGAGCAGTTTGCTAGACCTTTGGTTTGGGAGCAGAGTCTAAACATTTCACCTGTCTATTCAGCGCAGGGCCTCTTCTATGTCCCGAGGGGAAGTGTGTCTGAGAGTCACACCATCCTTGACCTGGAGGACCTCAGTCGGATGGAGTAGAAGGAAAATGCTCCTGGCAAGGTGAATAGGGGCAGACCCAAGCCGAGGGGTTGGGGGAGAGACGGGGTGGCACTCAAGAAAGGACAACCAAGCACACTTAGAGGACAAAACATTTCCACCTCCACCAGGGAAGCTGAGAAGCCTTCCTGGAGGAGGAGTCAGTGCAACTGGGCTGAGGGGAGGGGCACAGGGGCTGGGAGGGAGGTGCTTCTCCTGGCTCCAGGAGCTCTTCCCTTGAGTCTTGCATACTTAGCACTTGTCCCAACCCCTGCTTCCATCACATGAGGGCCTCACTGAGAAGAGGGGTCTATGGCCACCCCTCTCCATTCCACTTACCCCACCAAAGGCTTCCTCCTACTCTGGATCCCAAGGTTGAGAGACACCGCCTGGGAGTCCTGGGCTCCACTTCTCACCAGGCCCTTCTCTCTGTGGCTCTGTTTCCCCTTCTGTGAAAGGCGACGTTGAACCAGGTGGCCTCAGTTTTACCGGGTGGCTCTGGGTACCGGCTGCTGGTAGCTTGTGGGTGGATGGACTGTTTCTGCCTCTGTGGTCCCCATGTCTTCAGGAAATGTCGCTGGTCTGGGGGGAACTTCTGTCTTCTGTCAGGAGGCTTAGGGAGGCGTGGGTGAGCTGGGCAGGAGAAAATAAACAGCGGCTGTCTGGGTTTTCTCTCGGGGCCTGAGCCAGGAGGCCTCCCTGGGCTCCTTCCCTTATATGGCCAGGGTGATCTGGGCTGGGAGCTGGCCGCAGTGCTCCCCCACCCTCCACCACCACTCAGAGGGCCGGGGGGCCACTGCTGGTCACCCAGGACTCTGCTGCTGAAGAGGCCAGAGAAGGGCTGAAGGTGGAGGGCAGGCCCCAGCATATGTGCCAGGAATTGCCTGGACAGCCTGGGCAACTGGGGAGGATTTATGTTGAGATAAGACATGGCAGAGAGGGACACCCAGAGAAGAGGGGACCTACCCCATCCTGACTTAAACCTTAGCTCATGATGTGATCCTAACCAAGCCCTTTCCCTCTCCGGGCTTCTGTGTCTCCCTCTGTCCAATGAAGATGTGAAAAATAAGAATTAATTCTCACAGTCATTCTGTGAGGTGGCAGCTCATGTATCCTCATTTCGCAGAAGGGAAAACTAACTTGGAGAGGCTAAGTTATTTGACAGCAGCTTTCCAGCTGAAAGGGAGCAAGGCAGGATTTGAACTCGGGACTGTCTGACATCAAGGCCTGTGTTCTGGATCGGCTAGTTGTCATGGCTCCCGTTGCAGGTGACAGTCACTTCCATGTGCCTTATGGAAAAGGGATTCTGTGAAGCTGCAACCCTGGAAGACCAGGGGGCCCCAGTGCCCAATGACCCAGCCTGAAGGAGGCTGTTCTACGAAGGAAAGGGAACAGGGCCTGTAAGTATTCACCCTGGTGTTCCTGGCACATCACACAGGGCGCGGCACAGGCTCAGGCTCTCAGAAAGGGGTATTGTGGAATCACCAAGTAAAGAAGTTTTGGCAGTCACACCCATCCCCTCACCCCCAGCCACATTCTGAGGATGGAATGAAACAAGGGATGAGAACGCACCGAGATGCCACCTTTAACACAGCATTGTCTGTCCACAAGCTCCTTCTTCCTACAGAAGCATCCCCTGTATCTCATCTCCAGGTCAGTGTCTTAACTGACCACTCCCCACTCAGCCCAGCTGCAGGACTGAGAGATGAAGTGGATCTGCTCAAGGACAGGGCTCTGGGCTCTGGTTGGAGCCTTAGGCTGGGCCCAAGTCCCAGGCAGCAGCAATGGCCATGGGAGAGGCTGTCAGAGGGGAGGGGGAGGGGGAGGGGGAGGGGGTGCAGGGGGGGGGCCTGGGAACAACTCGGAAATGTGCCTCACAAAAGCACTAACATCCTGTGCACTGTTGAGCTAACCCTGGAACTTCCCTCACCCCATCCATCACTGTGGCATCCTCTCGGACCCAGACCCCCTTCCTGAGGCCCACGGTAGGGTGAGGGAGCCAAGGACCGACTGTCAGTGTGTTTGAGAGATCCCAGCTGGCAGTTCGGCAGGCCTGGTTAGTGTTGGAGCCGGACAGTCGGGGGGAGGAGGCGCCTGCAGCCCTCCTAATCCAATTTGTTTAGACCCAGTCTCTGTGGCTCATTTGCTAGTGAGGGAGGACCGGGTGTGCGCCGTGCCGGGGCGCACGTTTGCACACATGTGTGGGGCATGCAGGGGTGAACAGGTGGACCTTGTTACGTAAGACAGGCCTGGGCCTTGTCCCACATCCCAGTGTCAGCTCCTTTCCTGGAACCCCGCCTCCTCCTCCCTTCTCCGCTGCTCACCTCCAAATCTTCCTGCACTTTTTCCATCCACATGAGAGCTGGTGCCAGAATTCCCCTTTGCAACTGACTATGCGTGCAATTCTGAGTGAATGCTTTTGCCTCTCCAGGCCTCAGTTTCTCCACTTGTCTTATGGAACTGGCACCTCACCCTATCGGTTCCACTGTGAGCCTGAAAGTATCTTTAAACATTGACAAGTGTGGGAATAATGTGATGAATGGTAAAAACTGCTCCATTTTCTTGAGTTTCACCATGTGCCAAGGGCTGCAACTGGGGACACCAACCCAACCTCACAAACCCTCTCAAAGCCCTGTGAGCTGGTTCTTTATTGCTAGGCTCAGAGAGGTTGATTGACTCCTCCAAGATCACACAGCCCCAGGTCTTCCTGCTTCTGAAGCTTAACCCTGTTTACTCCTTTCTAGGGAAGATGACTATTATTCTCCACATTTCTCTCAAGTCTGTTATTCACCAAATCAAGTTGAATCACAGAGGTTTTATGTCCAAATGACATGGGCTTTGCATTGCTATTTTGTAAGGAGGATGGGGTAGACTGGATTCTTGGCTCCTGGTTAGATTTTCCTGCTTTGGTTCAATTTCTTTTTACCTACAACCCAGACCCTAACAGCCCCGAGTTGCCTGCACTGCCACCAATCTTTAACAAGGCCCATGCTGCTTCTCATTCTCCCGAGGCCTGGTTTCTTGGTCCTTCTAAGGTTAGGGTGGGGAGTTTATCCTGAGGGACCCAGGTTACTCCAGAAGCCACCTGCAGGTGGGCTGGGGTGGGGAGCAGATGTGGGTACTGGAGGGGTGGAGCGGGGGTGGGCTCACAGTTCTGTCTCCAAGCTGGCTGCCGCTGGCCCTCCTCTGGTCCCAGGAGGCTGCTTCTCCTGAGTTCTTGCTTCTCCAACATCAGTGTGGCACGGGTGGCTTTCACCAGCTAGTGCCCTTGCCTGAAAGAAACAAAGATCCCACCTGTCAGAAGGATGCCGGGGTGCCCTACAGGTACGGTTGTGGCCTTTGAGGGTCCTGACCAGGCTGCCAGGCTCTGAAGGATGGAGGATGGGCCTGGGCCACTTCTAGGTACTCAGAAGTCTTGGGCTGAACCTACTGAGATCTTCGCTTTGTCCCTGAGCAGCCATTATTCCTTCTTGGCCTGCCTGGCTTTTTTTTTTTTTTTTTTTTTGTGAGACGGAGTCTTGCTCCATCACCCAGGCTGAGTGCAGTGGCCTCGGCTCACTGCAACTTCTGCCTCCTGGGTTCAAGCAATTCTCCTGCCTCAGCCTCCTGAATAGCTGGGATTACATGCCCGGCTAATGTTTGTATTTTTAGTAGAGATGGGGTTCACCATGTTGGTCACACTGGTCTTGATCTTCTGACTTAGTGATCTGCCTGCCTCAGCCTCCCAAAGTGCTGGGATTACAGGTGTGAGCCACTGCGCCCGGCCCTGCCTGGCTTTTAAGGGAGAGCTTCTGAGAAAGTCCAAGCTCCAAGAGTAGGAGGGGCCACCTTCCCTTCTCAACACACCTAGGCCCCTTAACAAAAGAACTGTCCTGAAAGAAATTTCCCAGAGGCCCCTCTGACCAATGCCCCCACCTCAGCCTCACACATGAGAAAGGAGTCACGTAGGGCTAAATCAAAACCTGGGGTTAACATGATGACCAAGACCAAAGGGACAGGCTCGTGACTGTCTTTGACCCCTTCCATGTACACAAAGCTTCCAGCCTGCAAAATGCTCCCTCCCATGACTCAAGGCACGCTCACTGATAGCACCAGAGGTAGGAATAATTCTTCTGCTTTCTGAAGTTCCAGGAGCCTGCGGGATTTGCCCAGGGCCCTGGGGAACAGCATGAGAGGCAGACTTGAACACAAGCTCTTCATGCTCAATGCAGCTTTCTTCTGGGCATGGGCAGTGGCTGGCTGGATGACCGCAAGTCAAAGCTATCATCGCCACGGTCATTGCAAAAGTCCCTGTGCCCTTTCCTGGCCTTGCTCATTTCCAAGAAACATGAGGGTCTGGGAATGGGCCACATCTGGGAGTCGGATGGCATGTCAGTGGGGAGAGGGCTGAGGCAGGGGCTCCAGGCAAGCTCACAAACCCGTGCTCACACCCGGCTCTTTCTGCAGGGACCTCTTTGCCCACTGTTCCCCATCCTCAACTTGCTCACACCTGTGTCATTGTTATAGCCCTTGCTCTCCTTGGGCTCCAGGGCCCTAGAGTTTCCACCATATTCTGGAAAGAAAAGATACAGGCCTTGCAGTCATGCAGACCCACATTTGAATCTTGCCTCTAGCACTTCCTAGCCGTGTGATCTAAAGCCGGTGTCTTCACCTCTCTGAGCCTGTTTCCGACCTCACAGGCCTGTTTGTGAAGGTCATATGAGGCAGATGTCAAGTGCGAGCATATTTCCAGGCACATCGTAAGTCCACGATAAATGGCTGCCATTTCTATTATTAGCATGGCGCTGGGCCGCAGTGAAGCCCAGCCTTGGGAGGAAGAGCAGAAGCCGGGAGAGAGCAAAGGTCAGAAGAGGCATCTGGGGAAGCTGTGGGAGCCCCTGCGTGGCCCTTTCCATGTCCCCTTTGTCACACAGCTTCCCCGGGCCTCTGTTCCCAGAGTGCCCTCCAGCCCCCTTGACACCCCAGCCGAGTTCACCAGCCTCACACGCTCCCCACTTCCTCCCCAGGGAGGGTTGCTCCGGGGAGTTTTGAGCAAGCCCTGGGAACGCAGTTTGAAGCTGAAACAAGAGCATTGCAGGGAAAAGGGAAGAGAGGGGGAAAAAAAAAAGACCTGCCCAGCCTAGAATCCCAAGCCTTGCCTCGAGCGCTCACGCTGTGGGGCACGTGGGGAATAGACACCAGGATTCCTGTGAATCCCTGTCACTTGGCCCTTTAGTGAGGGCAGAAACTGAGAAAAGAGTGATGAAGGTAAGAGCTATCACCTGTCAGGCTGACTGTGCACCAGGCACGTTGGGACACGCTGTAATCATAATGATAGCTAACATGTCATTGGGTGCTTCTGATGCACCCCACACTTGCCAAGTGCTTTATTTTACAATTGCCAAGGCTCTTCTCATCTGATCCTCAAAGTAACTTATGAGTTAGGTACCATTAAATTTTTTTTTCTCACTCTCCAGGATCTTGCTTTCCAAGGCAATACCTGTTGCCTAGACTTGAGTGCAGTGGCACAATCAGCTCACTGTAATCTTGAGCTCCTGGCTCAAGCGATCCTCCCACCTCAGCCTCCTGAGTAGCTGGGACCACGGGCACATGCCACCATGCCCGACTAATTTTTTATTTTTTAATTTATTGTAGAGATGGAGTCTTGCTATGTTGCCCAGGCTAGTCTTGAACTCCTGGCTTCAAGTGATCCTCCTGCCTTGTCCTCCCGAAGCACTGATATTACAGGTGTGAGCCACTGTGCCTGGCTGAATTAGGTGCCATTCTTTTTTTTTTTTTTTTTTTTTTTT